AAGAAGCAAGTATACTTTCGTTTATGTTTAATATCAATTTTGAAATGCAGAGAACATTAAACGTTGGTTTAAATAAAGTCCAGCCGATATTTTTTCAAAGGATTGAATAATTCAGTGACATACAACTGTTTTCAGTGATAATGCACTGATTGACGTTTAAAAAGTATACATATATAAAGGCTTAGGCAAGGCATTGTTTAAACCAATACCAACAGTGCGTCGAAAAGCAATAAAATAGTCAATGTGTAATAACATAAATTACAATTAAAAAAATATAATATAATATTCCACAAAATATTTTCCTATTAAAAATGACTAGTGAATTCTATTCTTACTACTTTTTAAAAAACTAATCACTAAAAAAACATTTGTTACAGTTTGATAGGACTGACATCACCAATTCGCAGACGCAGAATGTTGCAGCAAAACGTGGTGGTTGTAAAGAACGCTGTGAAGCGTTATGGGAAAGAAGAGTTGGTGCTCGACGGATTCAATATGACGGTTTCAAACGGTTCCGTGTATGTAACCATTCTTTGTCTTGTCAACACAAAACATTATTCGTCTTTCTATTAATTTCCGTTTAGACGAATAAGGTTGCACGTAAATATCATGAGTTTATCAAAAGAACCCCATATGCTCGCTATAAGAAAGGAAACAATGCAGTGAAGATTGAATTGCTACTGATTAATATAATACTTCAGATTACTTGTGCAAATTTTAATATTGTTCCACAAACCTGAACCTACATCTAACATGTCTTTTATGGATAACTGATACTACTTTCTTCATCTTTTGATAGAAGTTGCCTGAACTGTCTGCCATCACGCTCTTTTACGAGTACCTTCATCAATTGCTTAAATTGTCATCGCTTGTAAAATAGGAACTTCTTTTGGGAATGGTATATAGGGTGTCACATTTTAAATGATCCACGCATATATTTTTTTGGGGAAGACGGCTAACAAAAAATGACCTCAGCAAAAGTTGTTGGGTTTCGAGGGGGAAATAAGATGGTGTTATGAATTTAGCCTTGAATACATGCTTGAAGATTACGTGAAGGTCATCTTCAATTTTTTAAATAAAATCCTTATGATTTAATATACTAACTTATTCTACCAATTAATATGAACTTTTGTCTGAAACATTTTTTATTTGCTTAATACTTTTTGAGATATTCAAGAGAAAATTTATAACTTTTTCAATATTTAGCTTATGATATCTCAATAACTCTTTGTCGGAGGGAAAAGTAGTAGGACTTTTTTTACTTGATTTAGTCTCCGGATTTTGCTGTTGCAATAGTATTCCAATTATTAAAAATTTTTGTGTAATGTAACATATATAAAATTTACATAGGCCCAAGCAATATCTCGTAAACGAAATATTTTCATCAAACAGATACACGCTGTTGGGGGCCAGCGGATGTGGCAAGACTACCCTGTTGTCCTGTATCGTCGGATTACGTTATCTCGACAGTGGAGAGATGTGGGTCTTGGGGGGATCTCCGGGCAGTGTGGGCTGCGGAATTCCAGGGCCTCGGGTGGGTTATATGCTGCAGGATACATCTTTAGTCGAACTGTTTTCTACGAGCGATGCTCTTTATTACTTTGGCAGGATCAATGGGCTTGACGATAAGGAGATCGGTAAGATACCGAATAGGTACATGGGATAAGAAAACTTGTAGTTGTTGCGCGCAAAATATCATGTAAATTCTGACAAGTTTTACTTTTACTTTCAAGTAAGTCTTTCAAGCGGTTCTAATTTTGTCTTGCTCGAAAGATATTCTACTATATGTCAATTTTAAACAACCCCAGTTTATACATGTTATTTCCAAGAAACGAGACATAGGTTTTTCTCGGAATTGTTCCAACTGCCTCCAGCAAATCAGTTGGTGAAGAACATGAGTGGAGGTCAACGAAAAAGGGTTTCCTTTGTCGCCGCATTGATGCATAAGCCCGAACTTCTAATTCTCGATGAACCCACCGTAGGTTTGGACCCAATTTTGAGAGAAAAGCAAGTAGAATTGGCTCCTTTTTAGACGTGATAAGCACAAAATATTAAGAAAATGTTTGGACGTTCTTTTTTACAGCATTTGGGCTTATCTGATCAAACTAACACAGGAGGAAGGCACCACCGTATTGATGACGACGCATTATATCGAAGAGGTTAAAAAGGCTAATACAGTGAGTCGCCATTAGATTTGTCTTAATAATATTTACGACTGTATTTAAAAAATAGCGAAACTTCGTTTTAAAGAAAGCGCCAAAAATTTTGGAGAAATGTTTTTATGGCCTGGTTTACATCGTGCACTTGATATGAAATAGAATACTTCAACTGATCGGCCAATGCGTGAACCAGTTTACTAGTTGTTACTATTTGTTATTCATATTAAGTGCACAATGTAAACTAGGCTAATTTTAATGCTATACTTAGCATTATTACGTTAACTCTTCCCTGTAGTGAATTAAAATTCTTATTGTAAAACATATCACCTCAGCCAGGATTCGAAACTGGGACCTCCCTCAATCCGGCACGCAGGACAGGGTAGAAAAAGACGGTATATGAATTCACTTTCAAGTAACACTACCCAACTGATACTCACCGATTTGAATGGAACTTAACATACTTATTAAACATCGAAAAATATTAAATACGTGTTTTTTTGTTTCGGCTAAATACGCTTTTTAGGGGTAGAAAGCACCCCTCAACCCTGGAGGGGTTTTCTCAACCAGAAAATGTATGCTTCAGAAATAATTAGCCATAACCGTTTCCACCTCCAGGGGTTGAGGGGTCCTTTCTACCCCTAAAAAGCGTATTTAGCCGAAACAAAAAAAAAGTATTTAATATTTTTCGGTGTTTAATAAGTATGTTAAGTTTCACTCAAATCGGTAAGTATCAGTTGGGTAGTGTTACTTGTTAGTAATTTAATTGGCCACCACTTATGCCAGGTCCTAAATGGCGTTTATGTTTCAAATTGATTTATATCTTAAAGGACCGAGTTAAAAATTAGTTGTTTATATAAAGAAGTCGCTAAAATTCCTATATAAGCTAAGTTTTCTTCTGAAGCAAGAACTATTCCTTCTTTTCGAGAACGCTGTGTTCTTCCTAATTGTAAATGTTACAAATTTGATCGTGCATAATATTGTATATTGTGGATGATACGCAGGTCAGTTTAATGAGACATGGTAAATTGTTAGCTGAATCGGCGCCGCAGAAATTACTGGAGAAATTTCAATCCTCGTCATTGGATGAAATTTTCCTGAAATTGTGCGAGGCACAGAATAATGCAGTCACTTTAACTGAAGATCAGGGATCCAATATAGAAGACACTGGTGGCGATGCCTTCAATCACGATCGAAACAAATATGAACAACTACAAGTATGTACGATTTTTATTGTTATAAAAAGCTTTGCAAATCTATATCATTTTAAGATACTAATAAGTCAAATTATTAAGGGAAACAAAACGGTTTCGAAAAGACAAGTTTCACGATTAAGAAGGTTCAAAGCTCTATTTGTGAAGAACAGCCTCCAATTTACCCATGATTACTCGTAAGTATTCATCATAACTTATCAATAATGCAAAAGGGACGCTCTTGTCAACAAAACAAAATTGAAAATTGTTTCAAATTCGAATGTTGCCTTTTCGAATGTTTCCTTCAATGGCCT